AGTGATCGAGAAATGAGCGCGTACTATTCAAGATTGAGGAGGAGCACGTTGCAAAACCTCGCCGAGCATCAGTAAGTTGCTTATAATCCGATGAATGACCGAAACTTCGTTATAAAACTTGTCCGTCTCATTAAGTTACAAACATTCGAAAACTGTGCTAAATCAGACCAATGTACCCTTTCAGATTTTTTCGATGTACCCTTTGAGTATATCGTCGATGTACCCTATGAGAGTTGCTTAAATGTACCCTATCAGACTCCTCCACAGATGTACCCTATCAGTCAATGTACCCTCTGAGTCAATGTACCCTATAAGAGTGATGTACCCTTTTTCGATGTACCCTCGGAGTATGGGCCAGTTCTGAGAAGCAGCTCTGCCTCGTGAACAAATTGTAACTGAAAGCAAGAACTACTGTATCTCAGATGAAAATTCGCAAACCTTTTCCACAGAATCCTTGAATGGGAAGGTTTAATTTTGGAATCAAACAGATTTCATCTTTCCCACAGGATCTAAAGCTTGTGCAACGACGGAAACCAATTTCAGCTGGCTCCGCAATTAATTTTATATTGTTTTGAATTATTGGGACTAGAAAAAACTTTTTATTGAATTTCCCAATTTCAAACTAACCGGGAATACAAAAAGAACCTTGTTTTGTTGAATTCTCGCCGAAAAACCTATCACAAAAAGTATTTCGATCATTTTCCAGACACCATTTGTTGTTTGAGCAACTCGTTTTATTTGGAATTTCTCACATTTCAAATCGGAAGCCTCTTTAGAAGGGCCCCCACACTGTCAAGTTTCAGCTCCATTACCTCGATTCCTCTGCAAGATATGAAAAATGTGTCAACTGATTGTTTGTGATGTTATGATAAACAATTTATCAGTAGACAACTTTTTCATAGCTTTGACAGGAACTGAGATTGCCTCAAAGTTAAAAGTTAGGGGGTCCTTCTATTACAGGGTCTACGGTACATGAAGGCAGAAGATGCGACAAGTTTCTCTCCAAGAATTCATTCAATTCGCCGTAAAGTTCGCTGAATTTTTGTGGTTCTGAAAATTATAATTTCTCAAAAAAATTGTGGTCTTGTCCTACTAGACAATGACGTTTGGACCAGAAGTAGAAGAAGAAACATCTGGAGAATGCGTTCAACACTTCCTCTTCATGCATCGTCCCCACACGTCACTTGATTCTTCTTCACCCAATTGTTATATTAATAGTTCATGGTCACGATGGAAAAATAGAAGAAATCAAGGGTTTTCAAATATTTATAGTAGAGAAAATGAGAAGAAAAGAGGAACAAGAATCTAGCTAGAAATCTAGCACTTCTCCTTATCTTTAGCTGACAGAATATCGAGAGTCACATAGGTCATATCATAGGTTCCTCCGATCTTCTCCTTTGGAACGACGAATTCCGAGATACGTTTGCATCCGGCCTTCTTGACATTGCAGTTGTGAGTGATGATGAGGTATGGGTTGATGGAAGTGATCTCATCGTCGGAGCCAGACACAGAGAACTCTCCTTCTTTGCTGGAAGTCAGCGAAGCGAGCTTGTCATCGGGGTCAACTGAAAACACGATTTTTCTGGGCCGTTTTTAAGCGCTTTTTTCGATGGAATGCAGGCATCGCTGTTTTGAACTCTCGCGTCGAGACCAACGCGTTTAACTACGGTATTCAAAACTTAACCGTTAGAGCGCAAATAGAGTTTGAAAGAATTCAAAAGACACGACAACACAAACACTTTCTTGTCGCAAAATTTGGCTTTGAAAACGTTTTGTGAAAAGCGTCTTAAGCTTAGCTGCTATAGCGCTACTCAGCTGACGGCCGCTACGCCGACACACGACGCTTTCGAGATTGGCTCCGAGGTTCTTTTCCGCAATGGGCTTACGAGTATCTCTCTCCCAGAGTGTGACTTCGGCTTGAATTCTCTTCTTATTACAGATGGTCGTTCCCTTGACAGTAATCGTTTGTTTCTTGGCTTCGACGAATGCGATCGCCAGGAGAACAAAGGAAGTGAATAGAAGAGCACGCATGGTTACTTAGCTAGACACTCACTTGCTTTTCGACCCCTTTTTATATAACCTAGAAGTGGGCGGAGTCTCTTTTTTGTGTGAAGGCGTCGCGAGAGATGAAACGATAATTTTTCTTTCATTTTACACTCTAAACAAAACAAACTGGCGAGAGTAGATGGACACAACAAGGTCATTTCTCAAAATGAAGAGAGGCCAGCCATTGATCGAAGTCTTGATACCCAAGCAGAAGGCATGATGCCACGTCAGTTCCGTCATGAATCATTACGAGGAGACTGAATTACTGGGATGACGTGAGAGGAAAACCGGATACATCCCTGGCTACGGCTATTATCAAAATTGTTGGTTTATTTTGGAAAGTGAAAAAAGGAGGTAACCGTTTTTAAATAAATACTTACAAAGTGTTCAAAACTCGAAGTGCGGGGGAACCGATAGTCGAGTACAATGAGACCAAGGGACATGAAAAGAGATAGAGAGAAAATTAAATTATTATGCCAGGGAGATTTCAGGAGGAGGAGAAGAAAAGAAAATGAGATTCAGTAGGAGTATAGGGAGAAAGGGAAAGGAAAGTACATCTTATTTACAGAAAACCGGGGAAAGAAAACGACTACTTGAAGCTGAATATTATCCGACCACACACAATCACTGCGATGACGCTGGCTCCGATGATGGACCAACTCTTGAGCCGTTTCCCTTCTTCAGCGTCCTTTTCTTTTTCGTAGTCTTCTTTCATTTGTTGTCCGAGCTTCATGAAATCCGCCTGAAACAAAGAAAAATGAATAAATATTCGAAAATTCTCCATCTGTTCACTACTGTTGTTCTTTCCCCTGCTACCTCCCCTACTCTTCACTTTCTCGCCAACCCTGTAATTATCGGATCAGGGACACCTCGAAGTGGTGTCTTCTCCTGCTGAGTCAAGAGCCCTTATTGGGCACCGATATTGACTGCTAATGTTTATGCAAATATCCCTTACCCAGCTACGATTGTGTTCTTTCCACGACTGTCGGATTCTCGTTTTGATGAACAGCGATGTGTACATAAGAAGGTTTCGCACTTGCCCTTGTAGCTCAGCAGACTCCATCATTTTGGCAGCAACCATTCCTCCGAAGGAAATTAGACCTATCTGAAAATATGACACTTGTACTACTTATGAATACCAACTGTCAGATCAACTTACCAAACGTCCGTAAGACATTGGACACGGTGTGTTTGATGAATTTCCAACAGTCTGCACCACTTCTTGGTACAATGAAAAACTTATTTTTGGAACTGCAAGTAGTTGTTCAGAGAAGTTTTCGAACATCTCCATGTGTCTTTTTTCGAAAATCGTTCCCAATGATCGCATCATCTCATGCTCTTTTTGAACTCCATCGGGTAATGCAGGCGCATCATACCAATCTAGACCATTTTGTGCTATGCGATATGTGAAATAGTCAACCTTAAATAAACATTTCAACACCTAGACACTTTCAAAATAAATGCTTACAACAAATCCCTGAATGTTGAACCGAGGTTCTTCCCAATCATAAATTCTGGTTGAATCTCCAATTGACATCCTTCTAGTTGGTGTGCTAGGAGTCGGTGATTCTGGTATAGTCTGCATTCCGAAGTTGTTCGGCTCTGCGTCTTTTGTTGATAAGAACTCTCTCATTTCACTTGTGGCCATTGTCCTCCGTCGGAACGTATTCTGCGACGAGTTTGCCATATCCATCGAATCGACCATTGCATCGCGTGTCATCGATCTAAAATTTTTATTTGTTTAAAAATATACATTTGGAAAGGAAACGATAATTCTACGAAGAAAAAAGAGCAACGGTGATAAATCGACGGATGGGCGGCTACGACGGAACGGGTGGTACAAGGGGCAGAGTGGATTTATGAACACCTAAGAATACGGAGTGAACGATCGCGCGTAAAGGGTTGAGACGAGAAAAATAAGAAAAGAAAAAGTGGGCGGAGCTTGTTGCCTAAGCAGTCTTGACGGCCTTGCTCTTGTTCTGGCAAGAGTTGATGACAATGGCGAGAGCAATGACAGCTGAGACTCCGAATACCAACCATCCAGATTTGTAAACCTGAGAAAAATAGGTGTCCGAAGTTATGAAACTTGAAAATACCTGTCCGATGTTGTCAACTCCCTTTGCCAAGTCGAATCCAAGGAACCGAATACCGTTAAGAGTATGGAAGATGATTGGGAATGCGATGATGTACTAAAATTAGAATTTCAAAATAACAAACTATAATAAAACTATAAACGATACCTTGAAGACAGCGGTAACAGCACATGGTAGATTCCATCCACGGATGTACTCGACGAAGGTGGTGAAATCAAGTGGAAGAACGGCGAATCCGAGTCCACCAACAAGAAGAGTTCCAGCCATCACGCATCCACTGATTCTGTGGAATCCAGAAAGCATCCAGGTGAGTTGTGGCTGGTAGATGGTGAGATGTGGAGCGATCGGGCGTTTCATGTCGCGCTGCTTCTTGAGGTATTCCCATCCGAACTTTTGAATAGGAGTCTTTGCCTCCGACTGAAAACTAGGAATTACAGAGTTTAGAAGTATTCTAACACAATTATTTGAACTTTTTGGAGGTTTTTTTTTGTAAAAAACAGCGATTCTTGAATTCGTTTTTGTGTGTTCTTTGCTCAAGAAGAATCTGCAGACTATATGCGAGAATTTTCCGTTGTAAATATACATTTTAGAGCATTTTACTGCCATTTTTGAATTGACACAAAGTTTTTGAACAGCTTCTACTGTTTTTTTCGTATTCTAAAAGCTTTAAAATAAGAACATTTTAAATACAAACCTTGGTAACTACAGATGTTCCGAACGAACGGGAAATCGCCGATCTGGCTCCCAAGCGGCAAAGAATCGAAGTTGGAATGTTGATCATCCTGAAAACTGACTTATTTTCTTATCAGGGTCAAATATACGATAAACAAGGCGGTGCACTTCAAAACATGTGTTGCTTTTTGTTAGAAAACGCACGCAGCCTCGCACAAGAAACGCGCCAACTGCGCGCATCGTTTGAAGTAATGCGTCAGTAGGCTTTAAAGGCGCATATTGCATGTTTGGAAAAAAACATAAATTTGTAGAAAAACAAGGCAAGAAGTTGCTTTTGACTCAAAAACTTAGACAAATATTTTTGCAAAGCTTTTGAAAAATATGAGTTTTTTGGATTTGAATGCGTTCAGATCTGCCGTTTTCTTTTTTGAAGGATCAGCTCCTAGGTTCACAGTTGTTTATTCCAGTGTTTTGTTTTGCACGCTCCTTTAACAATTGTTAAGGTAAGGTTTTCTTATCGTATTTTTTGCTTCAATTTGCGCCGCTTTACTGAATTCTTTTTTCTGAGAAATCTCTTCTAGTGGTATCGCTTCACTATGTTTTCAGATGACAAGAGAAATTCCGCGAATACATGACCAATCAACACCGTGGCTCAAGCTGCTAGTTGAGTTCGGGTTCCAAAACGAGCCATTCATTCTCGGAAGTGAAAGTACATCCTCTTGGTTGGCTAGGAAAGAATGGGTACTTCCAGATGGTCGCCTGAATAATGAGTATCTCAAAAAGTCTTATGGAAACGCAATAGTTCCAACTCTAGTGAATGGGACGAGTTACGAATTAACTACATTGACAGAATTCCTAGAAAATATGGGTGATCCGAACGTCTACCTAAAAGATTGGCATTTTCAAAATGAGTGAGATAGTTCCAATCAATGCTTCCTCTGAATAAATATATTCAGATTCGGAACTTCTATGTACACTCCTAATCCATTCTTTTCTCGAGATTTTGTGAATTGTGAGACATGGACATCGAATAACGACGAGAACCCCTTCGGCGACGACTACAGATTTGTCTATATCGGAGCTGCTGGATCATGGACCAAATTTCATGCTGATGTTGTTTGTTCGTACAGCTGGTCTGCTAATATCTGTGGTCGTAAGAAGTGGTTTATGATGTCTCCTGGAAGTGAGGAAGTGTTCAAATCTAGCTCGACGGATTCGGGTTATGTGGAGGATATTCGGGAATACCAGGAACTTTTCGAGCAGGCCAATGTCATCACTTTTATTCAAGAACCCGGGGAAATCGTCTTTGTTCCGTCGAATTGGTATCATCAAGTTCACAATCTAGTATGAGCAGGAAACACTGTAGATATGATACTTGAGTTTCAGGAAGACACAATTTCAATTAATCACAACTGGATGAACAGCACAAATTTGGGTCTGGTTCGAGATTTTTTAAGCAAGAGGGAGGAAGATGTTAGAAACGAATTGAGCGACTGTGTCGATTCGTTTACTGAAGAAGAATTTGAAGAAAAAGTAGAGGATATTCTATACGCAGATGCTAGACTCAACAAGTCGAAATTCCTCAAATTGTGTGAACTTGTAAGGGAATCCAGATCTACCAGAAAGGATGACTATGATTGTAGAAATCATGGTTTAGAAGTGTATGTCCGAAGTTCCTTTTTTTCTCTCATCTTTACTTTTTTTTCAGTTGGAAATGCATTTCCTCTCCTGATTGTTACTCTTCTATCACCTCGATATGCTCTTGCTCTATTTCTTTCTGTGCAAAATGTTCTAATTTTGTCAAACAACTCGAATATTCTATCGTTTCTCGATTTCTAGGTTTATCTTTCTTTCATTGGGCGAAAATAATTTATTTCAAATTTCAGATGTTCACAGAGAGCCAGTTATCAACGCTGTATGATTGTGCAACGACATCGACGCGACTCCCAAATGACTTTGCTGATAATGAAAAGGATTTGAAGACGATAATTCGATACGGTAATTTTTATAAAACTTCATTCGAATAATTCTTTTTTACTGATAATTTTCAGGCGAATTGTTCAAGGCATGTCATTCCTCCAATTCCATCGACTACTTACAGAAGGCAGAAGATCTCACAGAAGAAGAAAAAGTGGAGCTGAAGAAGACGGTTACACAGAAACTAGCAAATGCTTCGAGAAGTGAAGATGATATTCCTTGGAATGTGAACATAGTAATCGGAAACTCCCATGTGGCAAAGAGTCTTCGGCCTATCATCAACATCAAAATGCCAAGTGGAGAAAACTTTGAATTCGATATCGATTCGTTCGCTCAATTCCGCCAACAACTTGCTCAAATTGTTTTGGTCGTCAATCCACAAGAATGAATGATTTTGATTTTTTTTTTGCTTTTTTAAAATATTTTTTATCGATTTTCACAAGTTTTTATCGTTTTCGTGATGGGTAAGTGGGATTTCTGATGGAAAATCGTCGAGAATTGAAAATTTCCGAAAATTTGAAACTCGGAGTATTCCGAAATCTCGAAAGTTTCCAACCCTAAATTCTCGACTGTTTTCCACTTGGTTACTGTACTTTCACCTCCCTATCATCTATGATTTCTGAACAACCAACGATATATTGTCGATCATATGAATTCCGATTATTCTGGAAAGAAAAACACGAAGACCTGGCAAATACTCACTTGCTAGAAGATCATTTGCTAGAGTCTCATTGCTTGAATTGTCTCATTGCTTGAAAATTCGACTCGTTTGTTATACTTTTTGTCGGCCAGAATTTTTGGAATCCTTCGCTCATTTTTTAAAAAAGAAAACTGCACCTGGGACATACTCTCTCAGACGAGATGAAAACTCCTGCCGGCGAGGAAAACTCAAAAAAAGTCCTGCGGCGCACACGCGGCAGGAGATTTTCTAATTTTCGTCAACTGATTTTTTTCTCGCCGGCAGGACTTTTTTGGCTTATTCTCGCCGGCTGGAGTTCTCAACTCGTCTGAGCTGTAGGGGAAAATGCTTGGCAAATACTCATTAGCTAGATGATCTTTGGCTAAATGCTCACTTGCTAAATATGCTCACTTGCTAAACTCGCTCATTTGCTAAAATAGTCTCAATTGGTAAATTTCATTTGCTAAATTTTGATCATTTGCTTTTGATCATTTTAAAATGAAAAAGTGGAAATTTTGCTGTTATTTGCTAACTTCAGTACTTTTTGACTGAATATTCACAGAATATTCCTGTTTTTGCTTTAAATTTTAGGCTTAGGCTTAAACACCTGCTTTCCGGTAAGTAGTTTCAGCCTAAGCCTTCACGTCAAGTTCTGCAGGTTCGTCCGTCAGGTTCAACCGTGAGGTTTTTTCGTCTGGGTTTTTCGTCTGGTTCGTCAGGTTCGTCTGTCAGGTTCAACCGTCCGGTTCGTCCGACAGGTTCGTTCGTCCGGTTCGTTCGTC